AGATGGATCCAACGATTGTCATAATACGATTAAGCTGGTAGATGGGCCCAAGGGCCTACGGTGAACCCAAGTTTGTGGGCTCCGTGCTCCAATTTTCAACGGATGCCGTATCAATTCTTCGAAAATATAGAAATAATTTCTTAAACTATGATTTGAATTTATGTATGCTCCTAAACTCCAGTTCGGATGTACTATAAACCACTGGCCTTGTAGAAAGCCCGCAAATCCCAAAGAGTTGTGCAGTATGATTCTCATACATGCGTTGTGCTGGAGTATATGAAAGGAAAGAAACCACATGATCTTTGATGGGGTGGCCAACACTGAGTATGGAATTGCATTCAAGATTGGTTGTCTCATTACTCAGTGGTTGTCAGTAACTGGCAAGGTTGATAAAGAGCTTGATGAGGAATGGCTAAGGACCCTGAAGAGCAAAACTGTTGGTGTGAGGGTCTCAAGTTTGACATGGGCAAATGCTATCTAATCTGCTTATGCTGGTTTGTTTTCTTTTCTACTTGGCAGTGTTTTTTCGTCTTCCTTTGGGTGGTTGCTTTTAGCTCTTTGTGCTGTAAGTCTGTTTAAGTTGTTCTGAGGTTTCTTGCTGCTTTGGGGTTTCTCTTTGTTCTGTTTTTTCTTGTGGTTCTTAATAAATTGATGTCAACATTAAAAAAAAACTCCCACTATAACACTCATTAACTTACCAAGGTGAACAAGTGAACATAATATGATTAAAACTATGTAGCATGGATGCATATGAAATAAACATTATCAAATCTTGCAGGCAATATTGAAATGATTCTTGGATCTTATTAGGTTTTTCTCATTCATATATTTAAAAACCTTATAAACTTAAGTTTTTTTTAAAAACCGTATCAACCATCAGACTACTGTAGTTATTATAAAAGTTTTCATGGTGTATCCCCAAGGAATAGTGATAAAAACTGCGATAAAGTCGAATCAATGGTCTTTAATATGTAACTAGTTTTTTACCCGGCCTGATGGCCGGAAAATTTCATTTTATCACTTCATATGGAACTAGTAATTTATCTATATGTTTAAAACTTTTTTAATATTCTAATTTTTTATGCTCTCATTTCATATGTGAGTATTCGATATGATTAATAATTATCAATACTTAGCACGCTCATTTACGATGCTTCGATTCTCTAATCATAAATGATATTGTAAGGGTTTATCACGTCCCATTAGAGCTGGGAAAATAGACTAGACCGTTAGAAAAATTGTGGTCCAAACGGTACCGCACAATTTGGTCTGGACCGTAGACCGTTAAGTATGGTCTGGTCCATGGTCTGTATTATTTTATGTTTTGATTTCTTGGTCTAGTTTGGTCTAGATCGCGATTTACCGGACCAAACCGTGGACCCAACCGACTTGTCAATACGTGTTAACAGCCCATTCGACCACTCTCCCAACTCCCACAACGACACCCAAGTCTTAACCTTAGTTTTGTGAATCTCGTCCCTCTTTCATTCACAACCACATTTAACCAGAGAGTAGAGATAATTGTGTCTTCATATGACATTATGTTAATGTTTATGACGTTATGGTGCAAGTTGGGATGCTTTTACTTTGTATCTTTGTTATGTACTGAGATTTAGGGTATCAAAATTATTCATGCATGTTAGTATTAATGTGTTAAGGCAAATAACAATTATTTTTCTTGGTTATTGGTTCAACTTTTTGTGTGGTTGACTAAACAAATTATTCATTTTTCGTTGAGTGTGGTCTATCTGGACCAGGCTAGACCGAACCAGACCACACAGGCGTGGTATGGACCGGACCGTATAGTCTGTGGTCTGGTCTATGGTCTATACTTCAGTCTCTCGGTCTGGACCATAGACCGTATATATGACCAGACCGCACCGTTTCCCAGCCCTACGTCCCATTTAAAATAGTACATAAAGATTTGTCAACCAAAGTGTTCTCATTTATTATCTTATAAACCATATAATAATTCCTGATTCTCGAGCTAGGACATACTCTCAACCGATTATTAAGAGTTCAGATTATTGGATAAATATACTTGAACTACAGGATAAATTGTGTATATCCCAAGTGAAACGTTGACACACACCGTACCCCTTACGATGATCAACTTCTCTAATATTGACTCATTTTCATGGGAATGTTCATGAAGTTTCGGTTAACGATCTTATGAAAAAAAATTCTATCAAGAGACTCAAATTTAGTATCTTATATGTAGAGTAAATACAATTTATTAGTCAAATCTTTTAAACTTTTCAAATTATCAACCAACCTTTCAAAATACAAAGTATTAGCCAAACGTTAACTCCATGTTAGCATTTTTGTTAGTAATGTTGACTCAACAACATGAGGAAGAGTTGGAAGAGACACATGATGGTCTATATTCCAATTTAGCATTTTAATTAAGAAATGAGTTACAAAATAATTAATGATAACAGAAAAATGGTTGAAAGGTTTGGCTATTAATTTTTATTTACTCAACATGTATAAATTGCTAATTCTTGAAGTTTAGACTAACCATCACTCATGGTTGTTGTCTATATGTTGGATTAGAATCTCAAACCAAGACAATCTCACACACTATCAAGGGTTCTCGTCTTAACATGATCCTTTAGAGTATAATGTTCCAATTTTTTTAATGTGCATTTGTAAATAAATCCTTATTTTTGGTGTTAGTTCTGGAACAAAATTTTTGATTGTAAATCTTAATAATTGATAAAACATGTCTATAATGCACATAGATTTATGCACATAAATTTTCTTTAAAAAAAATATAGACTCATGCAAACATTGTGATATTTCACATACATATGAAGTCTTGGATGTATTGTAGATACATCTATTGTTAATATTAAGCATATAAAAAGAGTTTACTTATCTTTTATCCCTAATTAGTAATTAAGACCTTTTAACCCTAAATACATATTGCTTTTTGTTACAAACTAAAACATTTTTGTTTTCACACTTTTGATATGGTAAATGTTTTTATTATTGCCAAAATTTTGTACGGAGTCATAGACTCACAGCCATGCAACCAAATAACTTATTACAGTTGCCTTGTTTATTTCATCCTTATAAAGATTCTTCACTTTTAACCTATAGCTCGGTTTAGACTCTCGAAATTATAAAGACTTTTGGTGTAGAAGACATTCAACTATATATTAGACAAAAACTGTCAACCCATGTTTGATCAATGCTAGGTCAGTGGTTGATCAAACATAATGTTTATCGTACATCGTCAACAAAGATTTCTCTAACATTCACACATGTCATATAATACTTGTGCACCATCAAGTTTCTATCCAAACCTTTTGTTATATAATACTTATTTTATTTGATAGACATATATATTAGTCTATTACTACAAACATATATATTATACGAAAAACCAAAACGAATTATTGAATAAAAGGAAAAAAAATCATTAATAGAAGAGAGATAACTTCATAAATAGATCATTAACTAACTTTTTTGTTTGTAAAAAAATTATCCACCTTGACAACTTGTGAATTCTCCAAATGCTTATGTGACAAGAAGTTGCTTTTGAACAACCATAATATATAGTAAGATAAGATAAGATTCAACCTTCACGGTTAATTGAAATTTGATAGTTTCAAACACTAAACTCCAGTTAAACTTTTTAGTAATTTTTTTACCATCCTCCTCATCATGGTTGTCATGTCAATGGTATTGTCGGTCAGTTGAACCTGGTTGAACCTGTGTCGGTCATGAAACTGACATAAATACCACCGATATAACTGTCATGATCGGTTCACAAACTCTAAGTAAAATGACTTTTTTTTAGTAACTTTGATTGATAAAAAATGAATTTATTACATGCTTTGTGAATATGAAAGTTAAAAATTAATGTAATTTGTTGGATCCACGTATAAACGTTTTTCATATTGACGTTAATCGTTTTTTTTTATATCTTGAATGTCGTACTTTGTTAAGCAGGCATGAAATGGCACAAACCGATCATAACACTGGTCATATCATTCCACTTGCTGAACCGACCGACACAACGATATAAATCGCGATTTAACAACCTTGCTCCTCCTCCAAAATCCAGACTTGATCACTGCAAATTAGTCATAAATTTGAATATCTAATATAGATCTAAATCCGAAATCCTAGATCCATCACTACAAAATCATTGATCATATCCCAAAATAAATCATGAATATGATCTCCATCAGATTCTGTCACGTACCACTGCATAATTCAGATTATGGACCAGGATCGGCGGCCCCTAAATGGTGGAGGTTGGAAGCGTGCAATTGTGTGCTCCTTCTCTCAATAACATCATCCCTAAAAGGTATTAAATGCTTTGGATAATCTTTTTGATCGGCGCATTTGAGGGAGAGACTACAGAGAGATGGTTTCGTGGAGATATTTCATATGTATATTATCCGCCAACTGTCAGCCTGACCATTCTTCCTCGCCAGCTCCATCTATCGGTTATTACTTCACTTGCCTCGTGGTGCATGTGCTTTATAGTTTACACTCAACTCAAAGTATGGTGGCCAATTAATTAGTGGTTTGCTGGCTGGCCACTATAATCGGATTCAACTAACATAGATCATCAAATCAGTTGGAATATTTTCGGTGATGTGGTTGTCAATATTGGTTAACGTTGGTTAAAATTGATAAATATACTTGTGAAAACCGAAGAACTAGTGGTCCAATGATATGGATGTCGATGTTATTTGTTAGACTAGTTTAATGTAAATATTTTAATATTTACATTAAATGTTGTATTTAAATATGATAAAAAAAATTCATTTTGTTTCCGATGTTTTATTTTGTTTAAATATGTATATAAGTTGTAGTGAGATTTTCTTGAAATATAAAATGTATATGTATTTTCTTTTAATAGCTTTTCACTTTCTCCACATTTTTGTTAACGTCGACCTAAATCAATTGTATCCTAATTGAACTATTGTTGAACCAACTTAACGATATAAATATACAACATTCCCTTATAAGGAAACTCAAAACTTGCCAAAGGTAACACAATCGAGTTGGTAGGGAGTGTGATCTTTCTGGTTTGAGATGTGTACCCCTGATGTTTCCGAAGGCACCACGAATGCAATATTGAGTGGTAGGCCTTGAAAATGTTGCTGATACAGATACTCTCCAGATTTAGTAGACCCCGCTAGCCGCTGTCACAAGGTGACTCATGTGATTGAGTTTGCTCGGGAAACTCAAGATTTTCAACCAAGTTGCCAACTATTGCCTTGCCATAAATAACACTAGCACAATCTCATAAGCCGCCGCCACCACCACCCGTTATTCCCCTTCTCTTTCACCTCACCCTCTCTCTTCTCTTCCATGTCTGCCTTACAGCACCACAACCTCCTCCTTCCAAGGCATTCCTCTCCCCGCCATTTCCATCCGCCTCATAGCTCCCACCGCCAGCCACTCATCACAATCCGATCTGCCGCGGCCACCACCACACCGTTCAAGAACAACCAGAACCAGAACCAGAACCAGAAGGAGTTAGTAGCAGTCCTCCAGCCACAACACCGCACCCCACACATATACCTCACCACGACCGACCCCGGCCTGACCTCTACATGGACCCACCGCGCGTGGCTCGCAACCGGCTGCGCCGCCGTCCTCTTCTCCCTCCTCAAAGCCGCCATCCTCTCAGCCCGTACCCGCACCAGCTGGCTCCAGCCCTTGCTCGCCTGTTACACGGGCTACGTCCTCGCCGACCTCGGCTCGGGACTCTACCACTGGGCCATCGACAACTACGGCGACAAAACGACCCCCGTTTTGGGGGCCCAGCTCGAGGCCGCCCAGGGCCACCACAGGTGGCCCTGGACAATCACCCGGCGCCAGTGCGCCAACAATGTGCACGCCCTGGCTCGCGCCGTGGCCTTGTCGGTGCTACCGTTGTCGGTGATGTGTAATAACCCCGCCGTTCTGGGGTTTCTCGGGACGTTCGCCGGGTGCGTCATGTTCTGCCAGCAGTGCCACGCTTGGGCTCATGGTACGAGGAGCAGGCTGCCGCCAGTGGTGGCGGCGCTGCAGGATGCCGGAGTTTTGCTGTCGAGGGTGCGGCACCAAGGGCACCACCGGCCGCCTTATAATAGTAATTATTGTATAGTGAGTGGGATGTGGAATGGAGTTCTGGATGAGAACAAGGTGTTTGAGGTGTTGGAGAAGGTGGTTTATGTTAAGCTTGGAGTCAAACCTAAGTCATGGAGTGGGCTGGATTACTCTGACACGATAGAAGAAGAAGAAGATCGAGGAAGCTCAGATCGATGATCACACAATGAAGTCATCAGAATTGCTTTACTAAGAAGGCAATCAAGTGTTTGGGTCATTAACAGATCGAGCTTAATTATATGATCAGATATCCTCTCTCTCTCTCTCTATATGTGTGTTCTGTAATATTGCTTTCAGATGTGTGTACATTGTGCTGAAACTATATATAGAAATGTATTGTTCTGTATTATTGGCTTTGAAAGATGTTACGAATGGTGTCGGTACTATTTTGTCTGTTAAATTTGATGGTGATTCTCAATTTAATTTTGTTATACAATGGGTGGCGTCGCGGAGCTTCACGCATAACTTGGGAGGAGTCATACTGCTGGAAGATATTGGCCGACTGTCTTCTCAGTTTCAATATGTTTCTAACTAATCCTTTGCTCCTCGTCAGTTCAATTAGGCTATCAAATTTCTGGCACGAAAGGTCCTCTTATCCATAGTTAAGACTACTGGTCGATTCCCGTGGCTCGTTACTGTTAGGAACGGAACAACAAAAGGAACGAGGTTACCGAATCTGGAGCTGAGTCGCGGACTAGGTCGCTTTCTTTAAGACGTTCGCGGCACTGCCTTCGATGCGCACGGCAGACTATCAACCGGTCGTCTCCAGGATAAAACAGCTCCTCTCAATACTCGCGGTTTTGTGCGAAAACCGAAGCTCTCTAAACACTCTCTCTATTGTGTTTCTGCTCGTTGTGATGTGTTTAGAGGGGCTGGGGAGGCGGCTATTTATAGGAGCCGAACCCCTAGGAATATACCCTCTTGCTTGGGGAATAAGTCGGATTAATTAAGGAAGATAATTACTTCCTTAATTAAAACCGTCGGTTAAGATCAACCCGGAGGGATTATCCTTCGAATATTCCGTTTTAGTCGATTATCCTTAGGAATATACCTCAGAATAACAGATTAATAATTAATTATTAAATAATTAATTTCGTTCGGAATTTCTCCAAAAATATATATATAGTCTCAAGTGAACCAACCAACCAACCGACCGGCCGGCCGGTCGGTCGGACAGACGGACGGCGCGCGTGCGCGCGCGTGTGTGGTGGTCCATTAGGTCCTCCCTCTCCCACAAAAGTGGGTCACCCCAAGGGGCATGCCCTTGGGAGAGAGGCTCCTATCTTTATACACATTTCACCTAGTAAAACTACCAATGTGGTAGTTTTTCCACTAGAGACTCTATAGCTTTCAAAGCTATTCATATACATTTCCAACAATCCCCCACTTGAATAGTTTTGAAACTATCTCTGAGCATCAACAGTTCCATAAGATCGGGCATAAGCTAAGGTATCGCGAAGATTTGAACCTTAGCGTAGTGGTTACACTTCCGATTTCATAAGGGTGACTCGTAGTCTTGAACCCTATCTCAGACAGTGTAGCACACCGGATCTTTTCATTGAGTTGTGTTCTCTTCATAGCCCGTGCGTTTATGGCCATGCACGTTACCCTGGTTTAGTGAACGCTCTAGCAACTTTGTGCCTCCAAAGTTCCATAGGGAGCGGCCCCACTCCCACATTCACATAGGTGAGTCTATCAAGAGTACCCCCAAAGTAAAGTACTCCACCCCACATAGGGTATAGATCTCATTAAGAGTTATTAACTCAACCTCCATTGCTTTGGGATTCATGCTTCACTATGCATGAACTTTTCGCATACTACTCATGACTTGTTATTACCCATTGAACCCATTTCTTGGGATCTCCAGTCTATTGGGTCGGGTTACCATCACTTGTAGTCCGTGGTTCGGTAGGCATAAGTCCCATACCCTTGGCGGTATTCTGGACTTTCTCTCTAGGTAATCCTTTCGTCAAAGGATCAGCTAGATTCTGTTCGGATCTTATATGATCCACCCTCACTGCTCCTATCGTTAGGAGTTCTCTTACAGTACTGTGCTTACGACGAATTTGTCGTTTCTTTCCGTTATAGAACCGGTTCTCAACTTTAGCGATAGCTGCGGTACTATCACAATGGATCAATACCGGAGGGACCGGTCTTTCCCATAGGGGAATCTCTGACAACAATCCTCTCAACCAACTTGCTTCTTCACTAGCCGTTGCTAGTGCTATCATCTCTGATTCCATAGTTGATTGAGCTAGGATTGTTTGTTTCTTTGACTTCCAAGACACAGCTCCACCAGCGATGTTAAAAACATACCCGCTGGTTGCCTTGGAGTCATCTGATAGGGTATTCCAATCCGCATCACTATACCCTTCTAGTACAGCAGGAAACCTTTGATAATGTATACCAAGGTTTGCTGTTCTCTTGAGGTCTCATGACCCTCTCTATAGCATTCCAATGCTCTCTACTAGGACAGCTGTTAAACCTGCCAAGCAATCCCACGACGTATGCAATGTCTGGTCGAGTGTAATCCGCAGCATAACGGAGACTGCCAATGATGCTAGCATATTCTGATTGTCTTACACTGTCTCCAGTGTTCTTAAATAGCTTTACACTAGCATCATACGGAGTACACGCAGGTTTACAGTCGAAATAGTTATACTTCTTCAAGATCTTCTCTATGTAGCTAGATTGATCTAGAGAATAACCATTTGCTGTTCTAGTTATCTGGATTCCAAGCATAAACTTTGCTTCTCCCAGATCTTTCACTTCAAAGCTCTCTTTTAACATGGCTTTTGCTTCATTGACCACGTGAATATTTGTACCAAATATCAACATGTCATCTACATACAAACATATGATAGTACAAGTGTTATTTTCTGACTTGCAGTAAATACACTTGTCACTTTCATTCACCTTAAAGCCATGTGAGAGAACGAGAGTGTCAAACTTCTCATGCCACTGTTTTGGAGCCTGTTTCAAACCATATAATGATTTGTCTAACTTACAGACTTTCGAGGCATGTTCGGGGATAACAAACCCTTCTGGTTGTTCCATATAGATTTCTTCATCTAGATCACCGTTCAAAAAAGCGGTCTTAACATCCATTTGGTGTACCACGAGATTGTTCAAGGCAGCAAGAGCAATCATTACACGAATGGATGTTATTCTAGATACTGGTGAATAGGTATCGAAGAAATCTATATTCTCTCTCTGCCTGTAGCCCTTAACTACTAGGCGAGCTCGGAACCTTTCGATTGCACCATCAGGTTTCCGTTTCGTTTTTAGAACCCATTTATTACCTAAGACTTTGCAGCCAGGAGGTAAGTCTGTTAGATGCCAAGTCTTATTAGCTTCTAACGATTCCATTTCATCTATAACGGCCTCATTCCAAAAATCTGCATCTACGGAAGTTAATGCTTCCTGCAAACTTTTTGGATCTTCGAGGGTGAATACTGTAGTAAAGTCATCACCAAAATCTTTAGAGATTCTAGCTCTTTTACTTCTTCTGAGTTCATCCTCAGAACCAACACCCCCACTAGTTCCGTTATCTCTAATAGCGGGTAGTACATTACCCCCACTATTTCTCGTTTTAAATGGAAATCGTGTCTCAAAGAAATCAGCATCAATGGATTCTATTATAGTACGAGCATTCAAATCATAAAATCTATATGCCTTACTATTGGCCGCATAGCCAACGAAGACACATTCATATGCTCGACTAGCCAATTTAATCCTCTTAGGATCCGGAATTCTTACGTAGGCCAAACAGCCCCACGTTCTTAAATAGGACAGATTAGGTGGCTTATTCTTCAAGATCTCATAGGGTGATTCTTTTCTATTTGTTTTTGAAAGACGGTTTAGCACATAGCAAACTGTCAACAAAATATCACCCCACCAAGAAGAAGCAGCTCCAGAATTGAGCATAATAGCCACGACTAATTCTGTAAACGTCCTATTTTTCCGCTCAGCTTTACCATTCATTTCTGGTGAATATGGTGCCGTGGTTTCATGAATGATACCATGTGAGCTATAGAATTCCTTGAAGGGATTAGAGTCATACTCTGATCCTCTATCACTCCTAAGTCTTTTTATCTTTCGATTGCACTGATTTTCAAATTCAACCACAAATACCTTGAACATATCAAGGGCTTCACTTTTGTTTTTCATCAAATAAACAAAGCAATAATCAGAGCAATCATCTATGAAAGTGATAAAGTATCTCTTGCCAGACCTAGTTAACGTCCCATCTAGTTCACAAATATCAGAATGAATAAGATCTAAGGGTTCTGATTCTCTACTCACAGATTTATGGGGCGTTTTCGTTATTTTAGCTTGGCTACAGAAATCACATTTATCAAATTCATTCATTGAGAGTTTAGGGATATGCCCTAGCTTGCTTAAATTCTTCACAATTCGTGTGTTCACATGACAAAGACGAGCATGCCAAACATTCAAATCACACACCATGTAAACTGAAGAATTCATCTTATTAATTTCGACATTCAACTTGAACATCCCATTACATGCATATCCCTTTCCCACAAAACTCCCATTCTTAGTAAGGGTATACAAGTCTGCCCCAATAGTTTGATTAAACCCAGCCTTATTAAGAAGATATCCAGAAACAAGATTCTTCCTTATCTCTGGAGTGTGCAACACATCCTTGAGCACCATCTTCTTCCCAGAGGTGAAGTTCAGCTCCACTTCACCAGAACCAGCAACCATAGTAGTGTGGGTAGTCCCCAACAATACTTTCTTGTCAGCAGGTGCTTCTGTGTATGTTTTGAACATAGCACGATTGTTGCATACATGCTTCGATGCACCTGTATCCAGCCACCATCCTTCTGAGTCACCGGTGAGGTTAACTTCAGCGATCATATCTGTGATCATGGCTATCAAATCCTCTTCTGTCAAGTTAACCCTGGCCGCAGCCGCAGGGTTTTGCTTGTTCCGGCACTTCTTTGCCATATGACCCGGTTTTCCACAGTTATAGCAGATAAACGGTGGGTCATTCTTAGAGGTTTGGGCCATGACCCTTTGGTTACCTCGAGAGGCACCATTCTGGTGGGGGCGGACCTGCTGGTTCTTACTCTTAAACCCTTTCTGGTTAGGTTTAAGAGCTCTAGGGGTGGGTCGTTTAGCAGTGACGACCATCACCTCTTCTTTCATATCCTGCTTGCGGGACTCTTCCTCAATCCTTAGGCGAGTAATCAAGCTTTCCAGTGAAAATTCTTTGGTTTTGTGCCTAAGCATATTCTTAAAATCTTTCCACGAAGGGGGCAGCTTATCAATAATGCAAGCAACTTGAAATTGATCGTCCAGAGGCATACCTTCAGAGACGATCTCATGAGCTATTTTCTGAAGTTCGTGGGACTGAACTTCGACGGACTTGTCATCCACCATCTGGTAGCGCAGGTAGCGGCTGACAGCATACTTCTTAGCTCCAGCCTCTTCCGTGTCGTACTTCTTTTGGAGCGCATCCCAGACCATCATCGCGGTGTTCTTACTGTCCGCATAGTAGTCGTACAGATCATCTGCCAGGCCGTTGAGGATGTAGTTCTTGCACAGGAAGTCATGCTCCCTTTCCCTGGCAGAAGCAGCCCTCTCCTCATCGGTCGCTTCTTCCGGCAGCTCGACGGGCATGCTGGTGAGGCAGTGGGCCAGCTTTTTGGTCGTCAGGTAGAACTCCATCTTTTGCCTCCAGCGACGGAAGTTGACCCCAACGAAGCGGAAGGGTCGATTGATATCGACAGCACCAGATCCGGCCATGTTGTTCTGTTCAGTCGACATAGCAGCAGCCGAACGTCTTAAAATTGTTAGGAACGGAACAACAAAAGGAACGAGGTTACCGAATCTGGAGCTGAGTCGCGGACTAGGTCGCTTTCTTTAAGACGTTCGCGGCACTGCCTTCGATGCGCACGGCAGACTATCAACCGGTCGTCTCCAGGATAAAACAGCTCCTCTCAATACTCACGGTTTTGTGCGAAAACCGAAGCTCTCTAAACACTCTCTCTATTGTGTTTCTGCTCGTTGTGATGTGTTTAGAGGGGCTGGGGAGGCGGCTATTTATAGGAACCAACCAACCAACCGACCGACCGACCGACCGGCCGGTCGGTCGGACGGACAGACGGCGCGCGTGTGCGCGCGTGTGTGGTGGTCCATTAGGTCCTCCCTCTCCCACAAAAGTGGGTCACCCCAAGGGGCATGCCCTTGGGAGAGAGGCTCCTATCTTTATACACATTTCACCTAGTAAAACTACCAATGTGGTAGTTTTTCCACTAGAGACTCTATAGCTTTCAAAGCTATTCATATACATTCATATACATTTCCAACAGTTACTGTCTTGTATATATGATTATTTCCGAGCTTCTGACGACTATCCCAAAAGGAAAATTCTAAAAAAAATATAATAATTAATTGATCAGATTAATTAGTGTTGAATCATGAAGTTAATTCTACTATAAAAAATCATGAAGTTAATTCTAAATACTTCGAGAATAATTGCAAACAACAAATAATATTAAAATAATAAATGGAAGAGAACTAGTAGACAGAAATTTCGGTGGAGATGAGTATGGAAGCTTGTTGGACCAATTAATGAGGGAAGTGATTGCGGATAAGAAGAAGAAAAAGCTAGGATAATAATTGGGACTTTGTTAACATGCATTCGTATTGAGCTTCAAAGTAGTATTCACAAACACGTTTTCAGATTTAGTCATTTTCAGGTAATTTTCCAGTTTTGGCATAGTCTTTTGCCCAGGTTCAAAAATGGTCTTCTGGACTTCTAATCGAGCTTTCAATCATTTCAATATGTAGACAAACACTCCACCTTCAAAACAAGCCATTAATTTTCAATTTCCATCTAACCAATTGTATGATATGAATCTCCAACGTAGCTACAATGAAACTGTTTTTATACTGAAACAACATATTAGGTCGACCAAATCCTAACTGAGATCGACCGAAAAGTGCAAGTCACCGTGACATGCATGTCATCGTAGGCGCACCCTAATAATTGACTATGAAGGAAGGTTCACCTACCAAGCCTTGATATTTTCATGCAGAAGTAGAATGCCTATAAATGAAATAAGTGTGTAGCTGCAGGAGAAATGGCCTCACCGCCGGAAACGCCGATCATCTCCTCCTTCCCACCCCTTCTTCCTCCAGCAAAACCACCAGAAACTGAATCCATGAACTTTTCTTCTCCTACACATCTCCTGCCATCTCCTACGCCTCAAGATTTTATGGACACTGCTCCATCTCCGGGGTATCCATCTACCATGCCAACTCTGTCCTACAAGAGGATCGTGGAACAAGGGCCGTCACCAGCAGCACAACCACTACCGGAAATAGTACCAAGCAATAAAGACATTACCATTGGCACTCGAGCCAACAAGATGTCTGTTTGTGTCTCCATCCAACTACAACGGCAAATATGTTCTCCATGGCACCAAACAGTTGTCATTAATCTGCTTGGGCGATCTATCGGCTACATAAGCCTGTGCTCTCGCCTGAAGTACTTATGGAAGCCGGTGGGAACAATGCAGATTGTTGATCTCGAGCAAGGATATTTCTTGGCCAAATTTTCCAATGCCTCAGACTACACAAAAGCCCTAACTGAGGGCCCTTGGACCATTTTCGAACACTATCTTGTGGTTAGAAAATGGTCTCCTAGTTTTCGGATTACTGAGAAGCTCCCACCATCGCTGATCGTTTGGGTGCGCTTTCCGGCCATGCCAATCCAGTACTATCACACTAGTATCCTCACAGCTATTGGGAATATGATTGGGAAGCTCATCAAGATTGACTTCCACACACAAACTGCTCAACGAGGTAAATTTGCCAGAATAGCAATTGAGATTGACGTTTCGAAGCCGCTTATCCCAGACTTCTATCTTGATGATTGCTTGCAAATGGTTGAGTATGAGAATCTTCCCAATGTTTGTTTCTCCTGTGGAAGAATTAACCATGGAAAAGATGATTGTGCTAATTGTGGATCGGAGAACACAACATCACCCTTCATCACCAGGGCTCAAACTTCTATCCCAAACCATCAACCTCTCATCCCAACCAAGATTCTATCTTCAACTCCATCTACCCAACAGGACTCCACAATACTGAAATCCATGGATCATCAATCAGAGCTCGCTACCACTGACTCAGGTTTTGGCCCATGGATGATTGTGAAGAGGAAACCCAGACGGGCGAACAAGAACAAACCACCGACACTCACCACCGCTGCCGGCATACCAGCGACCAGCATACCTACCGATCACTCCACCGATAAGTTCATCCGGGCAGAACGCTCCCATTCCGCAATTAATTCCAACGAATACCAAATCCAAAGGAGAGAGAAGGGCAATAACTCACCCGTGTCAGCTTCCCGAGACCCATACCGTAATCAACACCATGCTGAATCAAGTCAAGCACATGCTTCATCCAAAGCTGCCAGCCAGCGACACTCGGTAGAAGAAAAGACAAAAGGAGGAAATCACACTGCAAGTGGCCTTCCTCCATCCCTAGCTTTCAAAGGTAAAGTGACAGACGACACTCTCTCTTCTGCACACTTTATTTCTTCAACTACCCAGGCTGCCCCTCCCACCAATTCTTTACCCCAAGAAAAAGGTTTCATTGGGCTTAAACCCACATCCTCTAAGGCCCACGAATTTACCTCCAACCCATCTGTAACTGATCATAAAAATGCAGACCATCAACCCTCTACCCTCCCCCTAGCACTCCCACGCGTCCCAAACTTACCACACCCTCCAACTATTAACATATTGGGCCCAAATGAGACTAATACCCAAATGTTCAACCTCCCTCCTTTGATACCAAACTCGCTATCGGAGCCCAAACATACCTCTACCTCTGCTGTTTCCAGAATGAAAAAACCCAAAGACTCGTCTTCATTAACAAAGAAAGGAACCCCAATAGCCACAACAACAAAAGCTATCAAAATTCGACCTCCTGCTAAGCACAACAGACGTAATGATTCCAAGGAAAGATCAGTTACTCTCACACTCCAGGAAATTGAAGCCTGGAATTCTCTATCCCATCATCTGAATAGAAATACAACTCCTCGCTCCGCGAAAACTTTACCGGATCATAAGGAGTCGGCCGTCCCAGCTAATGGCGGCTTCCTCCATGCACGTCCACCTGATACTGATGGGTTGGCAAGAGCACATGTGCCTAGTCACCAGAGCACTGAGACAACCCTTGAATCTAACAAGCAAGCGCCCAGACAAGCAGAAGATGGTGTTGCTCCCTTAATCGGGACGTGCAAACAAGATTCATAATCCAGAGAGCCCACCCTCTACTCTTTCTATTACTTTTAATGGATTTAAAATTATTTGCTTGGAATTGTCGGGGTGCCGGTAGTAATAGATTCATTCGTGTTTTTCGTGAGTATTGTCGAAAATTCAAGCCTAATATTGTTATCATTGTTGAGCCTAGAATCAGTGGTAATACAGCTACTAACGTGATCAACCAAATGGGGTTTGATAAGAATATTGTGGTCGATGCTATGGGATTCTCTGGGGGTATTTGGGTTCTTTGGAAATCTGCTTGTTTTAATATCACCGAAATCACACGTTCATCTCAACTTCTACATGTGCAGGTCAAGGGAGGTAACAATCGGCAGTGGCTTCTTACGGCAATCTATGGCAATCCGGGCCTTATTCAACGACGTGCCCTCTGGGAGAAAATTTGTATAATTGCTGAGGATTGCCTTGATCCTTGGCTGTTAGCGGGGGATTTCAACTCCATACTCCACGCATCAGAAAAGGAAGGCGGGGCGAGATTTGATGCTAGCCGAGTTCGTGACTTTCATGATTGTGTTCAGGATTCGGGCTTGATGGACCTAGGCTTCACTGGTCCTAGCTTCACTTGGTTTCGCAACGGCGTTAAAGAGAGGCTAGATAGAGGCTTCACCAACCAACTTTGGGCCACGACATTTCCTGAAGCTACGGTCAGACACATTGCTCGGGTGAAGTTTGATCATCGCCCCATTCTCATCACCACCAATGCCATTATCCAACCGGGTGGCCCCAAACCCTTCAAATTCCTGGCGGCTTGGCTCACACATGAGGATTTCAACCGAATGACCACCTCTGCTTGGGGCAAAGGAGAAGAGCTTCCATCGTCCGCTCGTGCTTTTGCCACAGATGCTACTGCTTGGAATGTCAATGTCTTTGGCCATATCCTAAAGAAGAAAGCTTATCTCCTTAATCGTATTGAACGGTTGGAAACTCGCAGCACTAGTGCTCAGGTGGAAAACCAGCTCACAGCAGCTCGGGATGAGTTGGAAACTATTCTTTTGCAGGAGGAGATTATGTGGTGTCAAAAGTCTAGACTGGAGTGGATTTCTTCCGGCGATCGCAATACCAAATATTTCCACTCCAAAACAATGCATCGACGGAAGAGAAATAGGATTACACTGTTGAAGGATACTTTGGGTGTTTGGGTTGAGGAGCCGGAAGCACTCTTGTCTTTGGTAAAGAATTTTTTTCAAGCTCTTTATACTGATGATGGACAATCCATCTCCCAATTGCCGCACGATTTTAAACCTGTAGCCGCTGATAAGTGGGCAGGGATGATGCATTGTATTTCTGAAGAAGAGATTCAACTAGCGGTTCGATTGATGGGCTCACTTAAAGCTCCTGGAATCGATGGACTCAATCCTCTCTTCTTCAAGAGATGTTGGGGAATTGTGGGCAAATCGGTGGTGGATTTTGTCTCCGCTTGTTGGGTGGATCCAACCCGAATCAAGGAGGTTAATGAGACTATCATTGTGGTTATTCCCAAGGTCCCTACACCAACTCAAGTGGAGCAGTTTCGCCCAATTAGCTTGTGTAACGTCACCTGCAAAATCGTTACCAAGTGCCTGGCGGAACGTTTGAAGAGTCTGATGCAGGAGCTGGTTGCAGAAACGCAGACGAGTTTCGTTCCCGGACGACAAATAACCGATAACATATGCATTCTGCAGGAAGTTGTCCACTCGATGCGTTCCAAGCAAGGTCGTACTGGTTGGATGGTGGTCAAGGTTGATTTAGCCAAGGCTTATGATCGAATCAAGTGGGAGTTTGTCAGAGACACGCTACAGGCTGCGGGTGCACCTCCACCCTTCATCGAGATCACCATGCAATGCATCACTTCCCCCAGTATGCGTGTGCAATGGAATGGTGGCCTCTTTGATACATTCTCCCCTTCACGAGGTTTGAGACAGGGTTGTCCGTTATCTCCGTATTTATTCACTTTATGCATGGAAAGGTTGAGTCATCTTATTTCTGGTTGTGTCACTAACGGGTCCTGGAAGCCGATTCGGCTTACTACAAATGGGCCATCTTTGTCACATATTTTTTTTGTAGATGACTTGATCCTATTTGGCGAGGCATCCCCGACTCAGATCACAACCATATCTCATTGTTTTGAGACCTTCAGCCTTGCCTCTGGCCAACAAATCAGCAAACCCAAGTCTCGGGTATTTTTCTCAAAGAATGTTACACATGCTCGTAGCTCAGAGTTAAGTGCAGCCCTTGATATCCCAACGACGATGAACCTTGGACGCTACCTTGGAGTTCCTGTTATCCATGATAGGATATCGAAGGCGACATACGTCGACCTCATCGACAGGATTGATACCCGCCTGGCGGGTTGGAAGGCGAACACCATGTCGCTAGCTGCGAGGATCACTCTTGTGCAATCAGTGCTTGCTTCTCTTCCTGCTTACACTATGCAGACAAGTTTCCTCCCCGCTAATGTTAGAGACTACATCGATCGGAAAACTCGAGCATTCATCTGGGGAAGCACAGAATCAGGCCGAAAGATCCACCAAGTCGATTGGGAGACCATCTGCCACCCAATTGATGAAGGCGAGCTAGGGCTACGGTCGGCAACAAGGACTAATGAAGCTTTTATGTTAAAGCTAGCTTGGCGCTTACTTACTGAGCCCGAGTCACTCTGGGCTCGAGTTGTTCGTGCTAAATATTTGCAGGAGACAGTGAATGGTTTGCAACCACGGACTTCGGGACGCATCTCTAATTTATGGCGGGGAGTTCTGAGGATCTGGCACTTGCTACCGGCTGCCACCATGTGGAACATTCAGAGTGGTCGACAAACCCGGTTTTGGACCGATAGATGGCTGTTGGATGGACCTACCCTTGCGGAGCTTGCTGTCAACCTACCGCCGGAGGCTCAAACCTTGACTGTAGCGGAGATGGTGTTGAATGGTGAGTGGAATGTGAGCTACCTAAATGCTTTCTTAACCAATTTTATTGTCTCGCAGGTTCTGCTCCATCCGGTCCCCCACGAGGAAGGTCCAGACATTAGGGTGTGGAGGCTTTCTCCATCGGGAAAATTCTCCATGCGCACTGCTTATGATCTTACTACGGAGGAAGAGGAACCTCCAGCGACACATCCCATTTGGCGTGCTCCGAAAACCAAGCGCGTTCAAGCATTCCTCTGGCTCGCTACTCAAGGTCGTCTTCTCACCAACGCGGAGCGACAAAGACGACATCTTACAATGACACCAACATGCACTGTGTGTGGAGATGGTGATGAAACTGTGACCCATGTCCTTCGAGACTGCCCATATGCTAGAGGTGTGTGGGCAGAGTTCTTGGAACATGAACCAGACCAGGAATTCTTTCAGGCTGACCCATTTCATTGGTTGCTTCACTACATGTCTGGTCGTGGCAAGTCCATCGACGCTACTCTCTTTGCAGGCACATGCTGGCTCTTGTGGAAAAACCGGAATAATCACCAGTTTGAAGGCAAGATTGAGACCATTACGCACACTCAGTTACGCACACTAGAGAGAGGAGGTTAATTAGATGGGAGCTACCTCAGACTGGTTGGACAACCATCAACACAGATGGTTCTGTCATTTACTCTCCTTCGAGCACGGCAGCAGGCGGCGTCGTGAGGGGCGACGACGGCCGCTTCATTCATGCTTTTTCTTTGAACCTTGGAGGGGGTTCAATTACCCGTGCAGAGCTGGCTGGGATTGCGTATGGTCTCAAGATTGCTTGGGAACTGGGGCTTAGGAAGGTGATTCTACAGTCAGACTCGCAGACTGCCATTCAGCTGATTCAGTCGGCTCAACCAAACCACCCACATTTTGTTGTTGTGAGGGAGATCAAACGTTTGATATCTTTGCCATGGCAGGTTCGTATTGAGCATATTTTTAGGGAAGCAAACTTTGTAGCTGACTACCTAGCTTCCCTCGGTCACACTTTTTCTTTGGGAGTCCATTCGTTTCCGACTCCCTGTCTTCTCATGAATTACTGGTTGTACTTTGATTTGATTGGATTGCAACTCCTCGTTTTATTAATGGATAAGGGTTAGGGTGCCCCTGAAGCGCTCTGATTTCAACCAAAAAAAAAAAAAGAATGCCTATAAATGGCCATGGTTGACTGGTGGTCTGGTTGTATTGTGTATAAATGGGGTGAAATTAATAAGCCATTACGAGATATGGGTGGTTGGTGAGATGTAAACATGTCAATCAGAAAGCAATAAAAGAACATCTATTGCTTCATATTCTTGTTTGTGTAGCTCTTCCAAAAATTCATAAACCCTTCCTCCATGAAATAAATTAAACCAGCTGCCAAAAAAAATCCAAACTTTCGCTTTACAAAATAAACTACAAAGTTCCCATTTATCAAACAACATCCAAAATTCAACATGGTATCAGAACAATAGTCAACAATTGATGAAGGAAGAAAACCTGATAATGTATCAATAATTTTGTACTCAGATGAACATCCAACACTTACACGTTCATAACAGTTACTATTAGTCATTGGATGTTAACATTTCCAAATCTTAAAAACAAATTGCAAAAAATGGAAAACAACAATAATATTGGTCAACTCGAGAGATGGCTGCAACAATCAGTAGGATGAGTTGAAGTGTATTTGGCTAAAGGTGTAAAATAGTTTCATAACTTTTCTTGTGCAAAAGGAAATTAATGAAATTCCTCAATTGCACAAACTAATTACTAATCAATTGGGCTTCCTGAATATAAATGAAATCATTTAGATGTTTTTTGGGGTGAATGTGATCACTAAAGATGACCCACAAATTAAAATTTTGAGTTTCTTACAACGGACAATTATGGATGAATTGAAGTCTTGAAAATATAATTTTTTTATGTCAAGAAATCTTGGCATAAATTTATAGGTTATTCCACTCCATAATTATATGTTAAATTCACATGAACAGGTATATATATGTAGATGCTTAAATTTTATGCATAGTTTTACTTATTGAAAAATAAAAAAGTGAGCTGGGAATGTACATGATGAGTCGACGTCATATTCGGGCTAACTCGACCAAGACCTGTATCGAGCTTATTTTTTCTTGTGTTGTGTCTTTTCAGCTCAGTTTTCAAATATATTTGACCATGCTTGAACCCTTAACAAGATTTGAACCATGTCGTGCCTAGACATACTTTTGTCGTGAAAAGTAATACAAAAAATGACTAACCCAATAGTCGATTTCGCAGCTGCCAAGCGCCAGTGTGCCAACAACCTACTTGCCTAGCTCGTGTCGTGGCGTTGTCGGTGCTAAACTCTTTTTTTTTTTTTTACAAATGAGGACTTTATTGCACTTCAAACTGATCAGTTACAAAGAGAGAGAACGAACCAACAATCTGGTTCCAACAAGAGGAAGACCAAGGGCATTCGGTTACAAACAAAGCTGCGTAAGACAAAATGCAGCAACAAAGAACAAAATACAGTCTGCAAGCGACCACCCAAATAGAGCAAAACCCTTGACCGAAAACAGATCATCATGAATCTCTCTTGCAAACAACCAATCAAAGTGCAACAAAACCACAATCAGCTTGTCCGATCATATCGAAATCCATGGTAAGTGAACATCATCACTCCATGTGCCGCCTCCTGGGGAAAACTCAAAGGCATCCATCACAGTGAATCTAGAAACTAGACTGCATGGCGGTGGAAGAGGATATGAACCAGATTGCTCCAAGCTGAAGAGGCAGAGGAGGCCGAGGCAGAGAGATCAGGTTCGAAGAATAGTAGAAACTCCCAAGATAGCCACAAAACTCCACGGAAAACACCGATTCCCAACCGCAACCACCGGAGAAGACCCAATCCACCACCATCCGACGGCTCACCAAGCCACTCAAACACCTAGGGAGGTCGGAGAGGGAAAGACGGGAATGGCTTCACCTTGAAGATGAGGCCACCAACGAGGGACTACCTCACCATCCAGATCTGGAAGAGGCTCCCAAGTTGCAGACTCCAGCTCCTATGACGAGCAAGCCTGAGAACAGAGAACCTGGATCAGAAAGAAGAGCCATAGCTAGACTTGAAAGGAGAAAACTGAAAGCCACAATGGCTGGAAATCCGATTGAGAACTGCCGAGGACACAGGCAAGAGAACCAAAGCAAGATAAAGAAACAATAACAGGAAAATAAAAATTTTGGGCTACCGCCGGTCACCTAAAAGGAGCCGGCGGCAGCCTCCGAAATCAGAAAAGGAAGACTGGAAGAAGAGAGAAGGCAGAGCAAATTTCAAAAAGGAAAGGTAGAGAGAGAGAGTGGCTTTTTGAAAGTTACTATCGGTGCTCCTCTTGGAGGTGCTGTGCAATACTGTACAAATAGAAATTGCTCGTAGCACCAAGAGCAAGCCGTCGTCGGTGGTGGCGGCGTTGCAGGCCGATGCCAGGGTTTTGGTGTCCAGGGTGGGCACCACCGCCCGCCTTACAACAGTAACTAGTGCATAGTGAGTGGGATGTGATCACTAAAGACTACTCCCAAATTACAATTTTGGTTTCGTTGGACCAGAAAATTATGGAGATAATTATCTTTTTATGACGAGAAATCTTAGCACAAATGTTTAGGTTTTTCCACTCCATAAATATCCGTTAAATTCACGTGAAGAGGTATGGAGATGTAGTGGTGGATCCTGGACTGGACCAATTCAGGCCCCGGTCCAGCCCTCCTCCGGATCCAGAGTTAGTTTAGTGCTTATAAATTTTTTTCGATTTAGGTATTTGGCCCATTGCTATTTAAAATTCTGTCTAGTTTTATTTGATAATATAATTTCTTGTAAGTAGGAAAATGATTCAGATGAACATATCCAAACCATTAATCTAAATTTATACTAAATTTTCTATAGCCCCAATGATTTTATTTAAAAATGACATGAAAACCTAAAAGTGTAAAGTTTTATTAAAATAAAATAAAAAACTCTAAACTAAAGCACACCCTTCCTTGCAAAATTCAAAAAAATTCCCAATCCCCCCTAAACAAAACAATAACGAGGAGACGAGTAGACCCAAAATGGATTTCTCTGCCAGCCGTCGAGCTGGTTTTCTTTCCATTCTTTTGATTAAGAACATATTTACAAACTTGCTGAGTCATCATTTAGATTGCCTCAATTGAGTGGGGCACTAGATTCTAACCGTTCTTTCTGGTGTTTTGATGAAGAAAATATTTACAAACTTGCTCAAGAGTTTAGCCTCGAGACTTTGAAGGCTATGAGATGCATTCTTTGGAGAATGCACTACTCATGTGAGGAAGATGAAGTTTCTTCTCTTGCAAAATTATTAGAGAAGCTTGAGGAAATAGGGATGGACACATAATACAAATTGATTTGTCGGTTAATTTGTCTAGTGTTGACCTAGCCGTTTCAACAACTACCATGAAGAGTATTTTCAGCAATGGAACATGAACATTGATTTGTGCAACAAAATGAGCGATGAATTTCTCGTTGATTACTTAGCTATTTTCTTTAAAAATAGTATATTATCAGTATGGATGGAGATTATATTATTGATAAATTTGCTCAATTAAAAGACCTTCTTGTACAATTGGCGTTGTAATGAAAACTATATTATTATATATTTTTGTTTATGGTATCTAATATTCTATTCAAATACGGCCCAGTGCTCTCTTATGTCCTGGATCCGCTGTTGTGAAGATGTATAAATTTTAATGTCTAGTTGTGACGACATGACACTGACCTGTCTCGAGCCCGTTTTTCTTGTGTCGTGCCTTGTTAGTTCAGTGTTCAAATTTACAGTCAATCTCGCGACCGAATACAGTTTGAATCGTGTCGTGTCTACCCAATTTATGCCATGCTCATATTCGTGTTTAATAAAAGAGAAGAAAAACGTAGGAATGAAAAAGAAAGAGACAATAATACGGGGAGTAATGAAAGTGATAATTTTGAAGATTTTAGAAAAAGTAAGATATTATGGGAAGAAGATAACTGGAAGTACAATAACATACCGTTTGGTATAAATGAATTCTATAAGGGGTCGTTTGGAAGTTGGGAGTCTAGATGAATGATTCTATGAATGTGTGTATTGTCTACAATCCATCGTTCTTTTGCACTAAAATTGTATAGAATACTTGTATTTGAAATGGGTGTTAGAATCTCAAATGAAAAGAATACTTGGTTTTAAAATCTCAGCCAAAAGGTAAGATTCTATCTTTTGATTTTGCAACTTATTTTTCTTCCATTTTTATCTTCATTCATTTTCTATATTCCAGCCATACCCTTTGCTTTATTGTTAGGTGTGACTGTGTGAGCCTCCCTTTTTACGTTGGAAGACACCCAACTTACTCCATCTTCTTGCTTTGTCTTCTCCTGGGTTTCCAAAAGAGAGGTAAGTTTCTATTTTGTTCATCTTTTCATCTTCCAATTAAGCAAATCTTGATTTCTCATCATCTTCTTCTCGCTTTCCATCCCGATCTTTTATTTCTTCTTCTCCTTGCTTTTTCTTTCGCTTTGCTCTTCTTTTTCTTGCTGGTTTTGTTCTACGCTTTCTTTTTCCTTCATTCCTTATGTGCCTCAA